AATTTAAGCTCGTCTCGAACATTCATAGACGTCATCCCACTATAGATGCTTACTGAGGGGTGGTTTTTGGAAAGGCGGGGTGGCGTCAGAATATATATACAAATACATATCGTAGAACCATGGATGAATGCAAGGATACTCAACTATCTATCTCTCCTTAAGAATACGTTTTTTGCCCGATGGTGCTGCTCCCGGTGAGCAGGTTCCGCTGGCTTGGACTTGCCCTTAGCCCGTTGTTTGCTACCATCATGTGTACGCTTGTCCTTTTAATGATTATACTGTTTTTTAAATTTTGTTGCTATGATCTCTCTAGGTGAAGTAACATTTGTTGTGGCATTAAAAATGATATTTCCGTTATAAAGAGTACTTACCGTACATACCGCTAAATTTATGTGATTCCAAGGATGTATTAGGCTGCCTTTTCTTTCCTATTCGTGATGGACCACGGCGTGATAGCATGCAACTTGTTTTCGTAAATTTGTGTGTGTGTATGTGTATTATCATAAGAGTGTATGTGAATACTTTGACGATATTTTCAATTTTACAGGTATGTGGTTCGTCCTTTTAATTATTGTACTGTTTATTTCTTTTGTTGCTAAGATATTTAAAGTGAAGTAAAATTGGTTGTGACATTAAACATGGTATTTCGGTTATAAAGAGTACTTACCGTACATTCCGCTATGTTTATGTGATTCCGGGGATTATTAGGCTGCCTTTTCTTTCCTATTGATCATCCCTAAAGATTGCAGTTTTAAATATATAACAAATTTTATAAACTACTGTACTTTGTTTTCTTTCGTAGTAATCCGGGCCCTTGGCAATTTAATCTGAAATATACAAATGCTGACAACAGAAGACTTAGTTTTTCTTTTGCTGGTTATCTATTTAAAAAGTTAATGATTTGCTTTATGAAATTTTTGACTTTTTCTTTAGCTTTGCTTTCTAATACATCCCATTATTAAAGATTGTTAGTCATTCATAAACAATCAATTGGTTAAATTTGATTTTTAACCAAGACAATCTGCATTAACTAGATTTTTTTCAAATATCCAGCTCTTTTCAGTAATTTGTATTTGGCGGGTATCTTTGAAATTCGAATTTGGCAGGTTTTGTGACCGGTGAGGCCACCGAAACATCGCACGACAGTGAAGCGCTCTACAGGTAGAAGTTGTGCATCTTGGTTTTAATCATGGCAGAACCTCGCTAACCCGACTCCCGCAAATCCGAAATTTCGGATAATCCGAACAAACTTCGGAGTAGAGGAAAAATAAACAATAAAAAATGCTGATTTCTAGTGTACAGAAAGGATTTTATAATTACTATAGTACTGAACAATTAATTATTAAAACACAAATTGTCGAAATGATTTATTGCACGGGTAACTACGGTGTTTATTACATGTTCATGTAGCAGTTATTTTCACTTAGAGAAAGTTACAAAATCAGTATTTTTTGCCGTAAGGAACTGAATCTGCTTGATATACGTTACATTGTCTGGTAATCCTATAGATGTATTTGTATTGAATTTATGCCTTATGTTACGTGGTGAGTTTGTATATGTACGGTACATCCTTTCAGGTAATCCGGACATTTCAGAATCCAAACAGATCACACACCCAATTAGTTCAGATTATCGGGTTTCTAATATATATGGTGACGTTTGAGACAGGTTCGAAAACCCCACAACACCCACACAGCATGGGTGAAACCAGAGAAGATCACCGGAATACAGGCGAGCTGAATAACTTCCTACCGAAACAGGGCTATCTGTTAGTTTCTGCCTATAGCTCGAACTGCCTATAGAGCGATCTTCTAGCTCACGGAAGGGTAAGTTCGCCGTGACGTCACGCAACCTATTAGAGGCGCCACAATATTAGAGGGAATTTTAAATGCAGCCAGATACCAAAGTTATCACGTTATTACAAGTCATTAAAACAGACATATGAAGCATTACTTTTGAATATTGCATCCTGAACGCCTTCGTCGAGTTATCACAGTCCAATAACTGTAATAACATGATGTGTCTATTATTAGACTGTGGTGTTACGTTTGGTTGCTCACTGTTGACATTCTCACTATACCGTTTCAAAATGTATCTCAGCGCTTCTGTCTCTCCATGGAATATGGTGGCCAGCGTCTAGTCTAGCTTTTCAAACGAAGTGCCCGTGCTATGGTAACGTGGTTCTAGATGTCGCTGCGATACGACCGTATCGAGCAGTAACATCTAGGTCATACATCAGTGAACATGATAGCGACCGTATCGAGCAGTGCTGATGATCATGCGACATCTAGCGGCACGACCGAGAAAGTCGCGAAATGTCATGAGATATTGTGAAGACTGGCCCTCACGCGCCAAGAAAAAAAAACCACTTAAGTATACATACAATTCCCAAGATTACTTCGCGGGAGAAGAAATGAAGAAAATATGCATTTTGCGAAGTAGTACATTGAATGTCTTATAACATTTTATACCTTCTCGTATACGTACCCTCTCTGGTTAAAAAAATATATCAAAAAATATCCCACATTTTCACAAGTATTTTATAAATCTATAGAAAAGAAAAAAAAGGCAAACTGTGAAATCTCTTTTTAATAAATGATCTCTCGCAAATAAATAGACTCTATGAAAACATGAAACGTTTTAGAGATGTCTATTTAAACGAAACATGCAAAATATATTCCTATTATTACAAATATGCTTCAAAGAGAAAAAAACATTGCCAAATGTGCACTAACATATCAATTTACATAGCTAACCAAATGTCAAGAAATTTTACTTAGTTATGCACTGAAGAAACGGACAAAAACTAAATTGAATTGAATTGAATTGTTGCCTTATTTTACATAGGGGGACTCGGGCCATCAGGCCCGCTCTTCCGTCTGACCAAGCATATTTCGCTACGCTCCTTTCACCAACTAGCGGGCAACGGAGGTATTTCTTGGGCGACGAAACAAGCGAATTAAATTTAGCTCGTTTAAGCTTGAGAATCATTTACATGCAGCAAATCTACAATCCTGGTACAGCCGGCTTTACTTCTATTTCTAATGAAGGCGTACGTTTTTCGCCCTTAAAAATCCACGGCTTCGGTAGGCTTTGAAACTCAACAGTCCGAAACGCTAAGCGTTATACCATCACTGCCGAAAATATCTAAAATCATATCCCAAATCTGCTCCCAAATTAGAAAGAATAAGTACAAATCAGGTCGACAAGCAGATGACAATATGTGTGAATTTCATCAAACGGGTGTAAACGGAGGCCATAAATAGCGTATTTCACTGTCCACGTTGTTTACTTCCATCATGCTTCTAATTAAACTCACACTAAATCAGGGTTGTCCAACTGACAGCCCAGGGCCCGCATACCGCTCGAGAACGATTATTAGTCAAAAGCGGAAGTCCCTTGCATCCTTGTCGTGCGAGAACATTGCGCGCATAGCGCACACGCCCTGTCGGGATCAACCTAAAAATAGATTAAGTTTAGATTTAAGGATTTTTTCTGGTAAATTCAAAATCATGCGTTATGCATATGGTATGACCAAGTATCACGCATAGATCCGTCTCCCCTCGTTTCAGAGATGCCGGGCAAACTGACCAATAATACGGGGCAGTCAGTTGCGGATTGCCCGAGTAATGTAAATATGGCCCGCACCACATTAAGATTTTAGTTATGAACTTTCCAAAAACGCCTGCATATACATATGGTTTTTGGAAAGTTCACAACTAAAATCAAAAACGGGGACCTCGCAGAAATCATGCTCTTGCGAGCTTTGTGAGCCTCAGGGTAGTGGGATCTGTTAGGTGTCACTGGTAATTTTTTATTAAAAATTATAAAATTTTATTAATTTTATGATTCCTTTTCTTTCATCTTTGTTCATCGATTGCAATTTGGTAATAAAGGGGCGACTTTATTTGGCATCATTTGTTAATTTGGCTACGTTATTTGATTTACCGAGTGGCGACTGTGATGGGTTTGAATTTCCTCTCCTCTCGCCTCTGATAAGCCGATATCAGTGTAGCATTCACGGATCGCCCCCCCCCCCAATTTGAATTGGCGTCAAAGTAAAAAAAAAAAGACCACGTGACAGAACTAACTTCTGTTTAAGGCAGACGTTTTCCCTTCGCGTGTCGAATTTCGGCCTATGTGATGACCAAAAACATTCTTCAAACTACGAAACAGAATGTCTTTCCCGCCACTCGTTCTTCGCTTTCGTTCATCAATCTCGCAATGTCGAAGTTAGTTCACTATGAAAAAGAAAAGACCACTAGGTCATATATGTATCCATATTACATGTTTCTACGAAACACCAGAAAACAATTTGCGGTTGAAATGATAGTGTTGTCATAGTCACGCATTTTCTTCTCCATGGTCTTGCGATAAGAGAGTTGATTCCTTCACGTAGTGCACAATAAGGGATAAGTCTTGCTTCGAATAATAAGGAAGAACTCCTACGGTGTAAGATATTTCTTACGCCGTGAGAACTGCGTTGTTTAATTGTATGTATAGAGTTAAAATGGAAATGCAAGTTTACTCTTTGCTAAAGATTGAACAATAAATTAAAGTCTTGTAGTTCTTCATCAAGCCACAAGAGGGCGCTAATTGGTGCCATACAAACTTATATAGTGCAGAGTTTGTCCACAAATTGACAGCGCCTTACGTCACATCCGCCTGCTTGTGTGTTGTTTTGCGTCTCTGAAATTCGTATGCGAATAAATATTTTATCTCTAATCTAATATTTTGTACTCAAGAAGGAAGAGGAATCCTCGCTGACTTCTTAAATATCTTTTTCGGTAAGCTTTTTGAAAGGATTCACTTCAATGACAGGAGTAGAACTATGATTTTATTTGCACGTTAGTTATTGGTTTACTTATCAAAGCGCGTTTGTTAATGAATATGCTCAGTGTTTTTGAGTTCCTTGATTTACTATATGTATTAGTTTTGTGATTGCGACGCTTCCTTTGTCTACACTCAACATTAGTAACTTTAGGGGGCGTGTCCGTACGCAGACTGATTACAGACTGCGCGCATCCGCCCATCGATGTCAAGGGAGGGGCAAAAGAGGGGTGTCCAAAGTGTAGGAATTCAATAGACTTCGTAGTTTACACCAGTTTACACGCAGATGGCGGTAGCAGCTACGGCGCCGTAATATGGCCGAGTGGTAGTGTCTTTATACTCTGTGGGTAGTGTTGAGCGTTCGCTTACTCCCCAAGTGTGAAGAGATTTTGAAGATCTGATGTATGGAGGCGTTGCACGAATGTTTAGGCCAGCAATGTCGGCGCTCCAACCTCAGCAGCCTCAGCAGACACATTCTGCTCAGCAGCGCGCTAGGGATGATACAGCCGCCAGACGCCAGGTTATGGCCCCCGTGGCAACCGGCCAGATGACGAAAGGCGATACGTCTTCAGGACATGAACCGAGAAATTCGGCCTCGCATCATGTTCCTGGCGTTTACTACGAGGTAAAGTTGCTTCATATATTTATTTGATTGTTTATTTTAAAATATTCTTTCCTAATGATTTAAGGGTCAAAAACAGTTTTTAAGTCTAAAATGGCATTGTTTTGGTTATTGAAATGTCAATATCCTACTTTTGTGATTTTCAATATTATTAGCAGAATATATCATTTTAGTTAATTAAATTTATTAGGAGGCAAGCAAAATGAGTAGGACTTTGGACAATTTTTTTTTACCATGAAGGGCTAATTTTTTTTAGTTTTAAGAATATTTTGCTTGTTTTCCCAGGACCTCTTAGATCCTCTATGTCACAGAGTTTCCCAAGCACTTGATGGAATGAAGAGTGCTCTGTCAGGAGCAACACCACCTGCAATGGCTGGAATGTATTCGTATGAGGTATTATTTTTAATAATTATATATAATTGTGATAAAGAAAACATTATTTTGTTTCTTCAACCAAAACAGCCTTGAGAGTCTAAGTAAACATAAAATTTTGCCTCAATGAGGATATTTTTATAAAAAAAATAAAAATAAAAAAAATTAATGCAAGAGTTCGCATTTTCTGCACTTACTATTTTGTTAGTCTTATGCATGTATCCTTTGTTGTTTTTCTTTTTGTTTTTAATCCAAAGTGTTTAAATGTTTTTTAAAATTATTTCTAGTAAAATAATTTGACTTGTAATTTTAGGTGTTCAAATATTCATTGAAACAATTGTGAAAGACAAAGCAGGTACAATACAAAGGAAACTCTATTTTTTTGTATGCTTGGTAGCACTGAACTTACTTCACTTTGTTCCAATGATAAAAGTCAGTTTTTCATGAACTAAATAAAAAATAAAATTAAAAAAAAGTCCTAATAAACCTCAAAATACCCACTGGGTTTTTTTTTTTAAACCTATTTTTTTCTAACCTTGATTATTGGTAGATTCAGAAAGCAATGACCAGAAAAAACAAACTTGCCCTAATTTTTGTGGTGTAATTTACGTACACACAACAACTGATGAATATACGTAAAACTACAAAAGCTATGAATTGCATAATAAATTACTTCTCCCAATTCTAGAACATTCTTTGTGTACACTTGTAAATTAGATCTTCAGCTGGTATCTTTTCCTCAATGATGAAGTTTTTGAGACTGAAATCAGTGTCATCAAATACATTTAATAAAACTTGCTCTGATTAACCCATTAACACCCAAATTAATGTTGTGCGCATAGCGCTTGCCCATGTCTACACCTATTGAAAAGGTAAAATTCGGAAATTAGTGCAAAAGAAGCAAATTAGAGGTGTCCAGAAATATGTCCTAAAACGAGAACACTGGGTGTTCGCGGATTAATAGAGCTAGCATAATAATAGTTAAGTTCGGATTATGATTAGCCTACCATTGATAATTTCAGGACTTTATGCATCTGTACAGAAGCACAAGAGAAAACATTCTGATGGCTTTGGATGATTTCTTGGTGGGAATAAGCTTACGTGTGTATCCATTTTTCTTGCTTAAAAAATACAATCATCCACAATGATACTATCAGTAATTACTCTATGAAATAATTATAGGTCACAGAATTCCTCATGAACATGCTGCAGCTGAGCAGGGTGCTGCAGCAGGTCTTTACCCTGGTTCACCCATGAGCTCTCGAGAGGTGCCTCAACTACCTTTGGAACACTGTAAGTTATACTTGATTTCTTGTTCTGATTTTTCAAAACTTGTTGCATCTTGGTGGATGCATTCTTTCCTCATAATGTACCAAATACTGTTAACTGTTGATAATGGGTATATCTCGTTCCAAATTTCTTTTTTGCTTGAGAGCTGGGCTTCAGCAGAGGCAGTGTTGACGCACTTAACTTCTCTTGTCCTGTGTGCACTGTAAGAGATATTGCAAGCAATCCAAAGTGAATTCAAGATTTCAGTTCTATGTATTTGATAACTTTCAGTGCAATACTGAAAAAATTATTTTAATGACCTGGAATTTTGATTTGAGTGTATTAAATGGTGAGATATGCAATCAGTTGATATGACCCCACTACCTTCTCTTTTTTATTCCGTTCTGGTTGCAACAAGGGTAGATTACATCAATAGAAAAGTTTGTGGTATTGTATGGCACTAGGAAACTACTGTAGGCATCATTATGACTCCCAAACATCAAGCTTAAAGAAGTTTGGTATTAGGTAATGTAATGACTAATGGTAAATGGCCAAGTCTGATTTATATGAAAATATACTTGTATAATAATTTTGATGAATACCCTGTCATGACATTGTCTTCTTTCTGCTCAGTTGTTAAAAACAATAGTTCCTTTCTTATTTTCCTAAGAGATTTGTAATGATTTGAAATAATGAAAATCACTGATTAAAATCATTGTTTATTTTTAAAGGAAGCTATTTGGGTGTCTGAGTTTTTGGTTTTAGAAACTAATTTTTAAAGAAATTTCCTAGTTTTTTATTAGAAAAAATGAAAGTTGTTAATAATAAAATTATCTCGGATAATGCAGTGTGTAGAGTAAATCAAGGAAAATTTGAGAAGACCAATATGATCAGGCATTTATGGAAGAATTGCAGATTTCCATTATTAAGTCATTACAATTTAATACTGTATTGCTAGTATCAGAAGATCTTTAAAAAGTTAAACATATATAAAATTTGCAAAAAAGCATTGGCAAAACGTTATGCATAATGGGAGTGAGAAGATTGTGTAGGCACTGGTATTAAACTTTGTTTGTTTTCTATCTTTTCATTTTATAGATAATTTTCAAAAGTTTTTATGAACATTATAATCTAAGCCTTGTGGATTAGAAGATATTATTAGATATCATAATAAAAATATAGCTCAATTTTTATTCATTTACACCCATATTAAAGACCTAGGAATGTTGATGTAATGTGTGTGATAAAACAAACATAAGTTCTGGAAAGCATATTTGCTTGATTTTTGTTAATTAAAATCTTTCCTGAAACTAGAGAAAATGAAACATGGTTGGTAAACAATTTTATGTTAATAGACACAGTAATGCTGACAGTATTTGAGAGATATTTTTATATAATTTGTGCTTATTTTTGTTATATCGGTAAATAAAATAGGTTTACTTTGTTTTGCTACCAGATCTTGACTTGAAATTGGAAGCTGCTGTAGGTGAACATGTGCGAGTGGGAGGTCATTTATATCCTGAAGCTCCTGTTGGTTCACAGCAAAGATCTCCTCAAGGTAGAACAGTCAGATTACTAAAAAAACATGCAGGGGGCAATCTGGCTTATTGTGGGAATTCATTTTTTTCTGCCATTGTGACTGCCGGAAAGGAAATTTCTTTTAAGTTTCTTTATTCGGTTCACATATTTTGCTGAATTGCATCTCTCTCCTGTCCATTTTATGTATCTGACATGCACAATTTCAGTTTTCAAAACATAATGAATGAAGAAATGCTGAGTCAGTAAACATTTTACTTTAATGACTTCTGACTGATTCTTGATTCAAATGGCTGAAGTAAACACAAACATTTGTGTACTGAATGTTACATTCATAATTAACTAGAATTAATTATGTCAGTTTTTTTGGTTTTGTCGTAGAAATTATTAATAATTGTTCTTAATATTTTCCAAAATTGATTAATTTTGTCTAAATTTCGGGTTTAGTTTGGCAACATTGTGGTTGAAATTATGGGTGTAAATATGTGAGGAGTTGCACATAGCTCTTCATATTACATTCTTGAAGTTGCATAGTTAATAAATTTTCATGAAGTTAATAAATTAGCCATATTCATATGAAGTTCTGTTTTTATTAGGCTGTAATTGTAAGGAAAAAAATAGTTGGGAACTTATTAATATTTTACAAATGAAACTATATCACTCGTTCTTTAAAATACAAACAATTTCTTCTGGTGTTTTTCTTTATCTGCCAATGCATTTGAAAGTGGCATTTTTAATTGCAAAATAGATGTTGTTAAAACCTGCAGAAGTAAGTCTTCCAGAATTGGTCTTGGTCTTTCTTTCTTTTTTTAAAGACAAAATACAAATTGCATAGTTGCATAGTATTGCATAAATGGAATAAAGCAGTGATATCTAAAAATATATTTAGGTATGGAAATATATACGATGTTCCTTTAACAAATTTAGAAGTTGAAATGAAATTTTGTGTGAAAAAAGGTTCAACGTGTCTTCAATGTATATATTTCAGTTGTATAAAAATAATGTTACTAAATAATGAGATGACAGGTCCTTTTAAAACATCCAGATGTGCTGATGCAGGGAAATTAATTTTATTGTAGGTGATCACCTTCACAAACCGAAAACAGATTTCAAATGTAACAATTTTGCTTGTAATTATTTACCATTTAATGTACTAATTCTTTACAAAACTAATGTTGGAATTAAATTTTTTTAAATTTCCTTCAGATATGGGCCTCAAAGGAGCTCTTGGATCAGGGCAGGAAAACTCCATTGAGTCACAACAAGCAACGGATGCTCCACTTCGTTTTGGTTGTGAAAGCTGTGGGAAAAGATTTGCTACTTCTGCTGATTTGGTTCGGCACTGCCAAGAGTTGCATGCAAGAGAACGCCCATATGTCTGCACGGTGTGTGCAAAAAGCTTTAAGAAACGTTGTCATCTTGACCGTCACTCTATTTTACACTCTGGAGAACGTCAGCACACGTGCGAGATTTGTAGAAGTACATTTTATAGATCTGATATCCTTGATAGACATCGTAGGACGCATGTTGGTGTGAAGCCTTACCGGTGCGACATCTGTGGTCATGGCTGCCGAGATGCCTATTCTTTGGCATTACATCACAGAACACATACTAGGGAGCGCATGTCTCCTTGTACCACATGTGGAAAAATGTTCCGCAATTCATGCCTGATGCGACATACCACCAGCTGCCGACAAAATCCACCGACTTTGCCAGAGGACTAGCAGCAAAGCTCTTTGGCTGATGTTCTTGCCATGCAAAATATGTCTTTAGCACAGACATCTATTTTTGCAGTGTACAACCAGCATATTTCAACTTTTGCACTGCCACAGAGTATGCCTGTTATTGTAAGAAGTTGGTAAATATCTGACACTGCACTAATCACACATTTCATATCGTAAGCATGTGATGCCTTCTACAATTTGTGTAGATAATTTTCTCACTTTTTTAAATAGTAAGTTTAGTTACTATATCACTGCCATTTAAATGGCTTAGTTTTAAAAAAAAATAATGTTCTATTATGCACAGTGGTTACTTTTTATTCACTAACAATTTTTAGATTGTAGAGAGCAGAAATGACATGTGGGATAATGTAATGAAATTGCAGTTTTAATGGTGTGGGGAAAATATTGTATCTCAGTCCTAGGTAAATATTTGTAGGTTTTTTATGAGAAGATTATGTGACTTTCGACAAGGCTGTGAGTCTTACTTGAGCATCATAGCGATATTTGGCAGTTGTGAGAGAGGATTTTCTTTTTTTTCTCTTTTTTTTCCTCCCCCCCCCCCCCCTTCATTGATTCTACATGATTGAATTTACTCATAAATTGTTAAATCAATACTCCATTTTTTAAATTTAAACCAATTGCGTTCTGAAAAGTATGTTTCTTGCAGTGTTTGTCTTATCTATTACAATATCAGGATTTATTAAATGGAAACTTGTTGCAAGTTTCTTGTATTTATTTTTCTATTAACTTTTCTCTTTGTTGTCAGTCTCCAGAAGACAACTCTCGGTGATGAATATTAATATTATTCAGCGTACTTGTGTGTAGTTATTAGAAAAGCAGACACAAGTAAAGTAGTCTGTTAATGAGAGAGAATTTTGGTGGAAAATATTTCTGTCATTGTTGATCATTTTTGATCAGTAGCAATAACTTGATTTGCTTGCAAGTATGTAGGGTATCTTTCTGTATAATCTTTCCATTGGGTGCTTGGAAGTATTTGTGCATTACCCCTTCTATTAGTTACCCTTACTACTGGCTCAGTTCCCAGGTCTTCATCTAAATCTTCGCTTCAAGAGAAAGTTTATAAACATGCTTTTTTGTACTCCTTTTGTGTTATTACAAGATGGTTCCTCAAAAATTAGAGTAAGGACTTAAAACTGTGAAGTATGCATATGTGGAGGAATGGCTTTTAATATGTCAGATGGTTGTTCAAATAAGCTTGTTACTGTGAGGGTGGAAATATCAAAATTTGATGTTTCAGTGTGTGTGTGTGTGTGTGTGTGTGTGTGTGTGTGCATGTGTGTGTGAGGATCTTGGTATTCTAACTGATTAAAACGTAATTGTACCATTGGGCTAGTAAAACAAGGATTAATGGTCTGCTATCGTTTATTAGAAACTTGAATGCGGAAGTAACATGTAGTGTTTCTACTTGGTTTGTAAAATTCATAAATTGTAACATAGTTTTATGTGGTCCAATGCATCATTTATTGAAAGGTTGATAATGTAAAAGATTAATTGTGCTGGTTGTGATTATATTTGTATTAGTTTTCTTGGAGTTATAGTAATGTAATAATGTAAGGTTTGGCTGCTTCAATTTGAGTACAGTTTTAAAACTTCGTATGTGTGAAACGTGAAAGCACAATATTATCCAACTGTTTATGAAGTGAAGAACCAATGAGGAATAATAATTAAGGAATGTTTTGTCAATGATTGTATTATTATTAAGGATTCATGTTTTGTACAAAGTATAGGAAACATTGCCATGACTGATTTTGTGTGGGTATTGCAATGTTTTGAGTTTATACATTATTATTTTGTATATAAAGAGCTTTGGATCTGACAGTTCTATGCCCTTCTATGCACTTCAGAGTGAAATACAATTAAAAACAAAAATTATGTCTGTAAGGTACCTCTGTAAAAAGGTATCTATTACAAACTTTACCATCTTTGTATTGTCTAAATTTAATACTCCTGAGAAAGATACGAACTAGAAGGCTGATGTAGATGGAATTTTTCACTTTTTGCCAAATGTCGCACAGAACTATCTGATCCCCTGCTCTTCTTATTTGTATAATATTATTTATACATTTAATTTAACTTTTTTATGACACTTATATTGTAATTACCCATACCAACATGAAATGAGATTGTGGAGCTTTTAATGTAATTGTTTTAACAGTTCCTTTGCAAGAAATTGTACATCAATGGAAGAATGGAATTATAAGAAAATCTTTTCTTCGCTCATTTAGCAGTTGGTCCCTTCTAAACACACATAATAGTTGAAAGTTAAAATAGTGGATAAACAAAATTCCTACTACCTCTACTAATACCTATGTTATTGAGGAGGCATCAAATTGCACTCTTATTTAGAAATCAGTAATGAGCATTCTCCAGAAACATAAGTATGTTGATGGCTGAAAATATTCTTATAAAATGTAAAAAAGAGGTAAATGAGAAAGAATTATTTCTTTGTTCTATCAAATACAAGAATGGCAGAAAAAAAATAATCTCATCACAGTTCATTACGTACCTGAAACCAAAAAAAAACAACAACAAAAAACGTTGAATTTGTAAAAGATGACAAAATCTAGTTAATTTTAAACATTGAAAACTTTTTGTTCAGAGCAGTAAAAAGAAAATAGGATATCTATTAAAATAGACTCAATAACATTACTAAGGAAGAAAAATGTAGAATTTTTTTTATGGAATATTCAATTAGGTCGTAATTGATCAAGTAAGGAAAGTTTTAATATTTGAAAAATGGCCCACGAGGTATGGTTAAGGACTTGGAATGACATAATTCAGGAAGTCACAAGCAAACTCGGTAGTAATTATTTAGAAACTATAGGTTAATAAAATATAGAAATCACAGATCAGACAAGGCAATTGATCTAGAAAAATCAGTGGGAAAAGGATTGATTTCAAAATAAATTTCAAATGCTCAAATCCAATGCAAATGGTAACATTTTTGTTGCTGTGACGTGACCTAGCAAATAGAATGGAGAAATGTGAAATGTTGGCAACCGCCCCTCCCCGTACATTTTTTAAATTTCTATTATCCTTTATATTAAACATTACATAAAGTATATTTTACACATTTTAACTTGACTAAAATTAATTCCAAAACATTTCCCTTGCCCTTCCATGCACCCCTTATAGTGTAGAAGAGTCGTTTACCTCTCTGAATATGATAAGAGCCTGATTAAAATCAACATTGATAGAAAAAAACTCGGTATATAATACTTCTTGTTAAACAAAGGCTCTTTTTTTACCTTAAGAAAACGAAGAATGTAAACATGAATTCTTTGATACAAGTTTCAGAAATTCTCGGGAAATTCTTGATCGATTAAAAATGCTTCTTTGTTTATATTTTAAACAATTTTTTTGTTTGTGAAAATTACATATTGCAGTAAAGAATATTTATGCTTTCAGTCTATATATATTATATTAATTTAAAAAAAGCTCAAATTTATCAATTTTGTATTAATGATAAATTTAAAATTAAAATGTATTGTTATTATTTAGTCATTGTATTAGTCGTTATTTTATACTTTCTTTGATGTCACTAGCTCAGGTATCACTAATTATTTTATTCCACTTTACTCTATTAATAATCCTCCCAAATGAAATTCCATGGTACTTACAAATGTGAAAAAATGGGAAAAAAATTAGTCGATTGATTAGATTGAGGAAAAGGAGTTAATATTTTTTAACAGGAAAAATCAAGATTTCAAGAAAAATTAGTATGGAACAAAAACATTCTCAAAATCACTTTTGTAATACAAGCTTTAGGAAGATTTAGAAATGATGGATTAACAAATACATTTGAAATGCATCACATCTACTGTGCTTCGTAATAACCAACTTTTGATAATTAAATGCTAATGTGGGACCTTATCTCAGTTAAGTCTTCAAGATATTTCTATAATATTATTTGTCAATCACACATTTTATTCTTTTCAAAACCCTTTAATCGAGAATTGTTTATGTTCAGAAAGCAGATGTTAGTTGATATCAAAATGTATTCCTTGAAAAACACAACACAACAGAAGCTGAGTAAAATGGAAAAATCCTCCTGTGAGTTCCTCAAACTGATTTTTTCATGTTACTTGTATGATGAATCTTCATATCACTTAAGTGATACAAAATACTATTCAAAATTATTTGAATACATTCACAAGACTGCTAATATAAGGTCATGTTCATTAACAAGTGGCATTTTTATTACTGATTGCATATTAGACCTGATTAATTTTCATTTTAGGTGTTTTTATCCTTTAGCCTTGTGCTTTGTTTCAAATTTTAATTCCTATTAAAAGAGTATAACTACTCATAGGAAATTATCTGCCGCTGTTTATGAGAATGACACTTCTGATTTATGCTTGTTTGAAGATTATCCTTTAATGTAATTCACGCAGAGTGTAAAGTATTCTGGAAAAAAAAAAAAAAAGTTTTTGTAAGTGTTCACAGCTCCTAGATTTTCCCTGTGTGGTTAGTTAAGAATGACCAGTAAAATTATGTGATTACAGACTCTGAAAAGGTTTCACCTTTTAACTGTAGCCTAGATTTTAGCACTTTCAATTATGCTCTTTTGCTGTTATGAGAATAAGGAGCAACAAGTATTTTATTAAAATATGAGGAGACAAGATGTTAATCCAGTATTCTTGTAAATATAAACAAGATGATTCTAGAATGAAACGTGTTCCTTATAATATAATTGTTCAAATTCATAGGCATTGGGATGTAACAGCTAAGGATTTCAGAGTAGCAGTTATTAGGAGCTTTCAAAGATAATATTTATCCAACTTTTTATTGCCCTCTTTTGTAAAAATTATCCCACATAACAATTTCTAAAAAATCTTTGAGTTTAAAAATCTTTGTTTTCTCTCTATTTCAACAGACATAGTGATCTCAAAGATATATTTGCCATGTCTTTGGCAAAGAATTTATTTTGTTCCAAATTAAAAAGAATCAAACCTGAATGTAATTCAGTTTTAGTGGATGAAAGCCTGTGGTGTTTGAACTTATTATGCATCTATGAGCAATGGAGTAGACATTTTACAGTATCTTGTTTGATAAGCTATTCATAGCCATCACCCATGCCTTTATAGTTTTAATTAATTTATTGTGTATTTCTTTGATGCTTGTGCCTTTGTGGATATAAGCATAGTGTATGTGTATCTAATAATGAAGTCTATTTGTGGAGAAAAAGTACTTCTTATTTTCACAGGTTTTCATAATAATCTGGAGGGAGAAGGAAAAAACAAAAAACGAAAATTAATAAAAATGTATAAAAATTATTAATATTGAAATCATAAAAATATATTGAACTGTATTTTCTTGTGATTGTATTTAATTTTTAATGCTCCTGCGTTGTGGTGTTTATATGAATACTTTAATATTTAAATAAAGAAAAAATAAATAAATAAAATAAAACACATTCACTTTATATGAAAAGTTGGTATGCTGATTTTGAAGTACTAACTGAATGGAACTACTGCATGTAGCTCTTGGCTATTCCTTTACAGAATTAGTTGCGTCATTAGAGAGTGTGAACCACTAGCAAAGGGTGACAGTAATGAATAAAGTTTAATACAAGTGCAATGAAAATGCACTTGTAATATTTGTTTTCAAAAATGTCTAAGTTATTGTGTGAATTGATTTAAAAACAAAGTGTTAATGAATGTCTGATTTGGATTCAAAGACTGAAATTGACAAAGAAAGGTCCTATGTGTTTTATTACTAGAGCCTGGAAGTTCAGGAATTTATTTTACCTAAAATAAGTAGACAAAAAGGCATATATTTTACTAAAGTAGGCATCCCAAAAAGGTAAAAAGCAGAAGTAGGGGTGCAAAAAAAACAAAAAACAATGACAATAATGTTTAAAAGGGATTGTAAAAATATTAATAATTAAAATTATTCAAACTCTACAATTTAAATTATTACTTAACGTGTAAGAAAGCAATATTTTCTTTGTGATGACATGCCAATACCATGTGATTCTGTGGTTACAATTTTCTTTTTCTTGCGACTCTGTCTCTAAAAAATACTATTGTATTTTCATTCTTCGCACCTGTGTTATCGCCAACACTGAGAAGGGTATATCATATGTAGAAAGCTGTCCACAAAAAGATAGGTACTCCTACTCACAAGTAGATTGGGATTGCTCATGAGTGTACAAAGTCTAATGGCATGAATGGAGTAGTCAAAAATTTTGTTTGGTGTGATCTTCCTTTTCCATTCAGACGTATCACAGTGACTGCTTCCACAGTAAAACAAAACACAACCATGCCTTTGAGTTGTCCAGGCTTGTATCCAACTTGATTGCAATCAGTGCCAGGTGAAAAAATTAGCAAAATAATAATGAAAATGGTAAAAATAAGGCAAAATGGCAACAATAGGCATCAGAAGTTAAAATAGGCAAAATGTAAAAAATACTCAAATGATTCGTGAGATATGACTTGTTAAAACCAGGTCTACAAGTCTATGTTATATTCTGATTTTTTAAGAATTATTGAAAGTAAAAATACTTAACACAGCAGTTGTAAACATTCAGAATCAAAAAAGTTCTCTCTAAAGTTGCCTTCAAAAAGCTGTTGCATGCATGATGAAGTTTGGTTTGAGTTGCCAGGAGTCTCCAAACTGATAAACTCAAAAACTATTTTTCTTGTAGGGAAGTCAAGATTATGGGGGTAGGTCAGTGGTTTCACTATGTTGTTTCCCAATGTTTTTCAGAAAATATATTTCCATCATTAGGGCTAAACACAGGGTTTGTAATTTTTATTGTGTTATCGGAAAAAAAAAACTCGGCCTATCTTGATACAATTAGGGTAAAATAAACTTGAACGGGATTAATACAATGTATGCAATATGGCGTTAATACAACCAACAGAAGAGAAATAAGATATAACTGGAACTACATATTCTTGGAAGCGAGACATGACACCCATGAGAAGTGAGTAACATAAGTACTAACTCACACCATGATTACTAATGGTCGAGTATTGGGAGGGAGGAAGAAATTGTCTATAGTGACTGAGACAATCTAACATTCTTCTGGGAAAGGTCTTTTAAATAATTGAAAATAATTATGCAAAATTGCTGACATAGATAAAAACAAAATCAAATGATATGATAAAATGTGGAATTTTATTTTCTTGGAATTGTTATTCTATTTCAAACAGTATTAAGTATGTATAGTTCATTTAAACCTCCCGAAGAACCAAATATGAAGATTAATAAACAATTTAAAAACAGAAAAACAAATTGAAATATTTATAGCAAAAAAATTCGATTTAAAATAAATTAATATTCTTTAAATATAAATGTAAGGGTTATTTTCAAAAACCGTGTTGTGAGTATGTTTATGTTGGCCAGCTTGTCTCCACATGATGCAATTTGTCAGATTGGCCGATCGGCCTGACAAATTGGTGGGGCATTCCACTTCAAATCTCACAAATTTAAGGAAAATTTGACCTTGATGTCCCAGATTTTTTAACTTTTTTCTGTGAAGAGTAAAAAAGTTAGTTAGTTAAAAAATTTGCAAAAAACAAAAACAAAAAACATTGCGATATCTGAAAAGGTCTACATAAGCGTGACAAGTTACAAACTGGGATCGTGAGATGAATCTGAGAAATTAAATACAATAAAAATGTCTACTTGCTGTTTTGCTGCCACGTCTGCTCGAGTGCCACCACTCAAACGCGTACCAATCGACGATTACCATCAATATATTTTCACAGAGCAATAAACATAAGTAACCCTTCACATCTTACTGCCAGATATGACCATCAAAGCAGAATAATTTCAAATTAAAAAGTTGTTCAATTTAGTATTAAACTGACTGAATATTTATACGAATAAGAGTATGTGTTACAATTACTTCACTTTAGAGAGAATGTGGTTAATTCACCTTTTCATGAAGAAATGAAACTTTCATCATGATGCGATCATGATGATGTTTCTTCACGAAGAAACGAAATTTTCCTTGTGCCTTCTGCTGCTTTTTTTACTATATTGTTGCTGCAATAGTCCTCTTTCCAAGTGTTATTCAGCGCTGCTAAAAATATAAAGGAAATGTTCTTCACATTGTCATCAGACCACTTAAATTAATAGGTTTCTGTCACGAAAGCTATCTTTCACCGAGAAAATTATAATTGCTCTGAAGTTTAGCACAGTAGCTAGTTTGCAGAGTAGCCAAGACATAAATTCACAGCAGTCACTGAATTACATCTTCAAGCAAGAAAGAATAATTTTCTAAAAAATTCCAATGGAAATGAAAATTCCCAGCGACAAATTTAATTTTTGTTTCATGAAGGAAGGAGAAGACGGTAACGATGAGTGAAAACAGCAGATTAACTTACCAAGACAGTTTCTCAAGAATGCTGATTGTAATAACCTAAACGTACACTTCTGTAATTATAGATTTTCATATTAAGAAAATGCAAATAACAATAGTATTGATATTATTGTTAGTCTATCTGTAGTTACTTCACAAAACTTTACAGAACGCACATGTTTTGCGGATTCCTCTGTTTACACAAGTGACTCAGTATATCTGAGTCTACTCTGCTGCAGACCCCAGCAGTGTCAGTTGTTTATATAAACATAATAGTCTCATTTCGTTTGAAAACTTCCTTTTGAAACCACGTATATGTGATTATGTTGGTCTAATTGGAAAAGTCAGAATATTGAATTGAATTAATTCCTTATTTACGTGTCGAGACTCAGGCCATGAGGCCTGCTCTTCCGTCTGCCCACACAAATTTCGCTACGCTTCTTTCACCAATTAGCAGAGAAAGGAGGTATTTCTTGGGCGAGAAATAGGCAATTTGAATTTAGCCCAGAGGCGTCATTTAGGCTTGAGGATCTTTTACATGCAAGAAAATCTAACATGGGACAGCCGGCTTCACTTCCCCTCAAAACTAAGGCGTACGAAGGATTTTTTTTTCTTTTCTTAAATTCAGATGGAATTCAATCTTTGGAAAGCCGACACATTTTGATGATTAATGGGACTATTTACTTAATTCAGGAACAAAGTTTGAACATAAAATGTGGAACATCCTATAAATTATGGAACAAGTTGCAACCCTTTTAAGGCTAAATGTCCCGACACTAGTACAATTTGTAGCCACCACGTTGCAGCACCAAAATAAGTTAAATTTACTTTACCGATAACGTCTGAACCTATGGTCCGATTTTCGATCTGTAAACGGCTTTTGACGCCTTTTTAAAAAAGAATTTACGCTACGATGGCCTTTGTCCAAAAATCTAGCAAAAACGCGAATTGGAAATTAGTTCCCAAACTTTCGAAAACAAATTAAAAATGTGGGCTTATAGCGCGATGGCGACATGCTTCCTGAATCCAACGCCGTGACAATCATGCAAATCGGACGAATAAGAGCGTCGTAAAGTGAAATTTACGAAAACACATCGCCCCCCTTTCCCTTCTGCGCCTTTGCACCACCCACCCGCTTGGGCCCTCTGTCACCGCGGTGGCACGGCCAGGCCCGGCGGTGTGCGACCAGCCCCGACGGAGCAGGCGGGACTTACGGGACACGCAAGCCGCACAGTCGGTTTATGCGTTCGGGAAAGTGTTTGGTACTTGATGACTTGAGGCTCCTCATTGTTTGTCGTCTATCTCGGAAACTATTCGTCTGAGTGGAGTTTTCTTTTCACC